GAGCCTCACGAACCGTGAGGTCCTGACCTGAGCTGAGATCAAGAGCCCAACGCTTAACTGACCGAGCCACCCAGGTGCCCCAAAGCCTGTATTTTTCTAAGCCAGTATGTTTTTATGATAGTGTACTGTGTTAAGTACCAGTTCTCATCCGTAAGATTTTCTGAGTGCCTTGACTTCCCTGTTTTATAAGCCAAGGTGAAGTCAACTCCACGGAAGGTTTTGATCTCAAGAGAAATGAAATCAGCACTGCGACAGCTGAGTCCACAAGCTGGACTGCTTGTGGTTTGAGAAAGTGGGGACTTCTAGAAGCCCCTCCTTTGAATTCTGTAGCCTTCCTTTTGTACGCTCTCTCCTGTACATGCTTCTAACCAACCAGCTCAATTTTGTGTCCTTCTGTTTCGACTGATGCACATGGAGCCTTTTTTTTTTTTTTAAGTTTATTTATTTATTTTGAGAGGGCGAGATCAGGGGAGGGGCAGAGAGGGAGAGGGAATTCCAAGCAGGCTCTGCGTTGTCAGCACAGAGCCCGACGCAGGGTTCGAACTCACGAACCATGGGATCATGGCCTGAGCCGGAATCAAGAGTCAGAGGCTTAACTGACTGAGCCACCCCGGTGCCCCATGCGTGGTGTCTTATTCCCTAAGTTGTCTGTGTCAGGCCCTGGGGTTCGCACTGAGTGATTCCTGGAAACCTAAATGATCCATCCTCCCCGGGCAGTGGGGAGGGAGCTGGAAGGACAGCAAATGCCTAATAAATACCTTCTGAATGACTGAATCTTCATCATTGTCCAGGAAAAGAAAAGAGGAGGAGAGGAGAGCCCAGGAAAAGAGGAGGAGGGCCAGGGTCAGGCGGCGAGCCCTGAAGGAAAGAGACAGACACCGGCAAAGGAAACAGAAGGAGCCAGCCACAGCTGAAGCTGCGCGTGAGCCCGACTCTTGGGAAGAGTGGGAGGAGAGGAAGTGCCTGCTGGCTCAGAGGAGGGGGGAGGCCCTTCGGTTGCTACGCGTCCTCTTGAGGAAAATTGCAGTAAGGCTCTTTCTCGATCAGCCATCACTTTTGGTAGGTACTGATCTTTCTGAGGCACACTTCTACGCTGAAGCAGTGGCCGGTTTCAAATCGACTCCATGGAAGACTCTTTGCCTTCCTTGGGACTCGTTTTCAATAGGCTGATCTCCAGTAGCCCAGTTGTGGATTTGCGAAAGAGGTACCCAAATTGTCCAAAGCACTTGTGTCTCACCCTTACCGTCTGGCACACTGTGTGTTCCCGAACTCCAGGATGGTCTGACCCAGAGCCCTATAGCTAGTGTATCTTCTGAGTTTCTCATGGATATAACGGAAGGCACCAGGGCGAGGGAAGGGGTGTTAGGTGGGTAGCCTTCCATTAACTTGTCCGTTCATCTGCAACAGGTTTGGATGGGAAGGAAGAACCTTGAACAGAGACCTTAGGGTAGCAGGTTCATGTTAGTCTAGTCTTAAACTATTTGCTAAGGAATTTCTCACATCACAGAGCAATTGTTTTGTTTGGAGAGTTTCCGTTTTGGAGTTTTGGGTTTTGCTGTTGTTGTTGTTGTTGTCGTCGTTTTTGGTTTTTGCCCCACTTTACTGACCTCCTAAAGATAACCAGCCTCCACAGATATCCTGGAGTGAAGGTCAGAAAGGTTCCCAAATTATTAATTTAAAAATGCATATTCAGTGTTTTTCTTTTATTTATTTTTTTTGAGAGAGAGAAAGAGCAAGAGAGAGAGAGGGAGAGCAGGGGAGGAGCCGAGAGAGAGGGAGACAGAGGACCCAAGGCAGGCTCCTCGGTGACAACAGAGAGCCCCTTGCGGGGCTCGAACTCACGGACGGTGAGATCAGACCTGAGCTGAATTTGGACGCTTTACCGACTGAGCCCCCCAGGCGCCCCTTCAGTGTTTTTAAAGAGGAAGAGTAAATGGCCTCAGTATCAGAGGCCTCTCATTAGTGTGGACAACCGACCCGAGTGAAATCAAGATCAGAAAACTCTCACATAGACTTTCTAATAAGGCTAGCTGAATCTTTTAAATTTACCTTACTGATCTCTGGGGGCGACCCCTTTTTAAGAATTTACCTTTTTACACGTGTGTGGGGCCTAATTCTTGGCCCCACTGATACCACATACTGATTGTGTGCGGTCCTCAGGTTTGGATCCCAGGTAACGGGTGGGCACTGTCCCGATTGACGCGAGCCGTCAGTGAGGGCACGGTGCGCACTCTCCCCGAGGGGTGGGGCCCGTGGGCAGCACCTTTAACCTGCCCTTTGGTTGTGCAGAGCAGACAACACAGGCAGAACCACTGGCATGGCCGTGTTTTCTACCTGTCATCTTGCTTCTGAATGAAGCAGGTGAGAGGGGACAGCTCAGGGATATCCTCCCCTACAATCCACGGGAAGAGGCTGGAATGAAAAGCAGAAAGGCGGTTCATGTTTTAGGCCAGGCGATTCCCTTTTAGACACACATTTCACCCATCAGTCTCTTCTTGTTCTAGGATTTTCTGGGAAGGCTGTAGAGCATGTCTTCTTTTACTATCCCCAGCCCCTAGCGTAAGACCCGGAACAGTAAATGCTCACCAGTTTGTGCACATATAAAGAAAAGGGTCGTGTGCTCTGAAGGCGTGTAAACGGTCGAGCACAGACCTAGTGTTTGCGTTAGCCCGAGACACTTCATTCGTGCCTCTTCTTTCCTCAGTGCGATGTTGTTCCTAGTCTGGATCCACCTTACAGCTTAGAAACCACTTCAGAACCATGCCAGAAAGCCCAGTTTTCTTTGAAATGTTTAAACCGTTACAGTTTTCATGTGAGATGTTTAACCTTTTTCTTTAAAGGAACCCACCCAGTTTAACCCACAGGGGGTAGACGATCCAAGCCCCAGAGCGAACCACACTCCAGCGAACATGTTGGAAACTCTGAAGAAAGAAGAGCCATACAGCCAGTACCTTCAGAACCAAGAAGAAATGCCAAAATATCAGGTTGCCAAGTTACACGATAAACAAAAACAAAAAATGAAGAAAATAAATAGGGCTCACTTACATCAATCTCCCCACGACCTCAGGAGAAAAGAAATAAGCTCTTCAGCTAGAGGAGCAAGAGCTGGAAAATCATTAGCCGATGGATACAATGAGAGTTTGGTCTCTGACCAGAGTTTTCTGCAGAATGCACCAGTCCAAGGTCAGCCTCTTGAGAAAGAAGACCGCAGCAATTCTCATAAATCCAATTCCTCCAGATTGTTTGAGCGAGGGCGTGCCAGGAAACAGAAGATCTATGAAACAGATGAATTTATTGATTACATGTTAAACTGCTATCAACCTCCAAACTATGCCCGTATCTGCCTAGAACCAAGTGGCCCAGAAAGCACGCGTGAGTGGCAGAGGGCTGTCCATGCTAAGGGAAATGGATTTCGAGTCACTTTGAGAAAACGTAACTATCACTCCCCCAGCCTGAGCCCAGTGCAAACCCTGGCAACCAGACGACAGGCTCAAAAAGATGATGGCTGCTCAGAGATTTGTACTCGGGGTCCTGAGCATAAACCACAAAAGAGAGGAAGAGTGGATTATGCCAAAGAAAGTCGCAAGGAGTTAAATCATTCCAAGGACACAGCCAGTGAGGCTGGTGGTCATTTGTCCCCAACTGATGCAATGAGCCATCTGTCGGAAGAGATTTATGCTTACGAGGTCAGATTTTCCAAATCCACCAGTCAAAGCCAGGATTCCTCACCCAACAGGTCAGCAGACTTAGAAATGGAGTTGACCGATTTCTTAGAGGAAATTAGTAGTGATTCTGAATGCTTCAGTGAAATCCTTAGCATAAAGAAAGAAGACAATGAGAAATCTGTGACTACATATCATGGCTCCCCAGAAAAAAGATCTCTTGATGCTGCTGAAATTATCACTAGCGATCAAGAAGTTAGGTCAAATCCGCAGACCTGGTGGTGTTCAGAGTGGAACCACAAGGGTGAGGAACGCTACTCTAAACATGAGCCTTGGAAACCAGTCAAGAGGTCCAGGTATGAGTTGACAGGCTCATGGCTTGAAGGTGAAAATGCTTCCATGAGAGGTGAGAAGAAGAACAGCCAAAACAGGGAAACACTGGCCCCCAAATATTTGTTTGATAAAGGCAACTACCGTGGATCCAGCCCCAGTGATCTGTTAGACGACATGGTAAGAAAGAGGAAGAGGTTCGATGATAGCACATTCGGCCAGAACGTGAACTATAGGCCCCCTCGTGTGCCAATAACATCATCAAACAGCGCCGATGTTTTCTACTTGAGGGGTTCCCCCCGAAGAAGAGAGACCCCCTGGAGGCCAGACTACAACCAGGAGGCGAGAAGGTGCAAAAGATATGAGAATTCTAAAGATTCCAGGCTGAATTCTGATAATTATTATATGATACGTAACAGTCAGGAGCACGCGGACTATGAAAGCTATTCACAAAATGGCTACACTAGTCCTCTGTATTATCAAATGTTTTGAAGTTCTTTCAGTTCAGAAAACGCTCTCATTCGCAGCAAACAAATTGCAAGAAGAAAATTTAAAACCAAATATAGCAATGTAGTTGGCAACTACAGAGCAAGAGAGCGACACTTAAAAGCTTGAGCAAGGTCAAATGCAAAAACCTTGTTTCTCTTGCCAAAGTATAAAGCATAAATGACTGCCAGTGTGCTGGCAAACTTTAGAAACAAAAAACATCCATATTCTGAAGGTTGGTAAAACAGTGTGCCCGCAAAACTTCCTGATCCGAGGACAGACATTTCTACAGTTCAGCCGCGACTTTAACTGGGTGCCAGCGAGGGAGCAAATGAACGTTGAGAGGAGTTGAGATGGCCCTCTGTGGCTCTTTAGCTGTTCTAACAGCATCATTTAGTGTCATTTATCTTCAAAAGGGACAACAGCGAATGAAACAAGGTCTTTTTATACCTTCTTAGCCTTGGTCCGAAACACCACGTGCAGCGACGAAACTTTCCTGACTTTTATCCAGAAACGGCTGTAGGTAACAGAAGGGATGACAGCAAGGACATACCAGAGACTCCTTCACGACATCGGAAGGTTACGTGACCACCTACCAGAGGGAAATTAATCTTTTAAATATGTTCATAGTACTCAAAGAGTTGTCCTTTTAGAAACAAAATTTGGAAGACGAAACTAAAAGGGGCTCGGATTGTCCCTTGACGTTTAAACGGATGGTGGACCATTTGCAGAGTTTTGTTTTGTTCTTTCTTTTTTGTTTTTGTGTGTGTTTTTTTTTTGAAGAACCCCACGTCATTCCATCCTAGAGAAGCAAGAGAATGGAAGTAAAAGAACCAGTGGGATTTGCAAAAGGAAATGCCAAAAGATCCTGGGCCACCGATACCAGCACTTTGGGAGGACAGGATGTGGCAGTATTTCATTTCAGGTTATGTAATCCTTTCACTCAGGGTTGGGTGACATCAGTTTGTAAAAAGCCGCTGACTATCCCCAAACTGACTTTTGATAACACGTTAACAAGTGCCTCCCCAATCCTCAATAACGCCATGGAGTTAGGAGTCGAGGGCAAAGCCCTAGTTTTCTAGCTGGGGAAAAATGGTATGTGTGAAGGCTTTGTAAACTCGTAACATAAGCAGTTTCTCTTTTTACCTACTGGTTTTGGACTTCTTGACTATGTTTTTAAATTGAGATATTTTATAGATTCTTAAAGACTTACATCTTAACGCAGTGCATGTTCTATTAAAAGCTCGGCTGATTCATTCCGCCTTATATTGGATTTAGGACCCTCAGGGGCAGTAGATGACCTTGTTTTTCCCACCCCCAGCCAAGCTATCCCTGACTCGGCAGTTGAAGACATCAATGAGATCAGACTGGCTGGCAGGACGAGAGGGTGATTTTCATTCACAGAAGTAGTGGAAGGCAACATCTCCCTGTGACATGATTCATTTCAGTCTTAACTTGATATTCTGTGGAAAAGTACCAGCCGGTAGAGCCAAGGTGGAATGCCAGTCAGTGTGGTTGCCCTGAGTGACGAGGCACGTTACGTGCTCATAACCAGCCAGCCACTCGAGCAACCTGATCTCTAAAGGGGCCACAAGATCTTCTAAGTTACTGGAAGTAAGAACCACACGTTGTTTCATTGATCTCTTCTCTTCCCATTTAAGAGGGCTACGCTAGTACGTGCAAAAGTTTACAAGTAATGTAGCGGATTGTGTTTATCATTAAGGAGATGATAACCAACGGACGGCTTGTTGGTTCTCTTGTATTCGGTTCCACTTTCAACCTAGTGACTCTGCCGTTAAAACTAGGTTTGGCTTGTCAAATCTGAAAAATCGTTTCGCGGGGTGAGTGCCTTTTCTCCTCTGAAGACTAGCAGTGACTATTAACGTTCAAAGTACTGTTGTCCAGAGTAGCCTTTTAAAGTGCTAAGAGCTTGTATTTTGTCAGACAGCTTTTGGTAACTAGGTGTTTTTCTCCTCCTCTGCCTCCTTCTTTTTTCATGCTCCATGCCATTGAAACCAAGAACACTATGGGTTCGTAATGGAAAGCAGTTATGGTTGTTTGGAAAACAAATCTTCATTTCTGCTGTCACTAGATAATTTTTCTTTGCAGAGATTTTGGGGCATGAAAACAATTTGCTGCTCAGTAACCAGGCATAAAAAATAAATTGCAGAATACAGCATGTGCAATTTTTTTTTTTTTTTTGGTTTTTTTTGGTTTAATAGAACCGGTGCTAAGTCACTTCTATCTAATATTTTTGTCTGGTTTTGTTTGTTTGCTAAATACCATCCTGGGACCTAGAAGTTAGTAAAAATACTGATTTCATGTTTACTTTCTGTACCACCTTCAATTTTTATATGTCTTATAGTAATGAGTTTTAGATTTAAATAAACTTCTTGTGTGTGTGTGTGTGTGTGTGTGCGCGCATAGGCCTTAAATAAGGAAGAGAACAATTTATCCTATACTTTTCAATGGAGTGAGTGGCTTAGTAAGGAATGAGATAGAACCGAAAATATTGTGATCACTTTCTATTAGTTCTAGTTACTTAGTTAGTCTTTGTTGTGCTGTTATTTAAGTGGTGCAAGAGTTTTTTCTCACATCTTTTTTCTATGTCTTATTAAGTAAGTAAGGGCCTGAACTTTAAATTTTGTCTTTTTAGACAGACATCTCCATGTTTTTCCTCATATGTGCTGATAGTGCTTTATGAAAACTAAAAACCTGTCAATGTATTTTTGTTCAATTTGTTTGAATTTCTCAGGTAGAAAGCCATGTAACCTGGTAATTTTGAAAGTAAGAACCAAATAAATGCATTTTTTGTGTGGCAAAGACTGTTTAGAATGTGAACTCTTAAACGCTAATAATTTCACCGGGGCGGGGTGAGTTTCTACTTGTAGGATGCCGCTTTGCACTAATGTTGTCGATCCTCATTTGCATTGTTAGAGAAATAATACATATTTAATTTTCAGATATATTAAAAATAAAATGGTCATAGTGACTACCTACTGCCTGTTCATTTACCACGTGCATCATCTACATTTTCTGTGAAAATCTACGTGCCCAGTTTTTTTTTTTTTTTTAAGTTTCATTCACTCATTTAAGTTCTCTCTACACCCAGCATGGGGCTCCAGCTCATGACCCCGAGATCAAGAGTTGCGCACTCCTCCGACCGAGCCAGCCGGGTGCCCCTATCCATGTCCAGTTTTAGTCTTGCTCCTATGTGGGGGTCTGTTGAGCACTCGACTTCAGCTCAGGTTGGGATCTCGCTGTTCTTGGGTTCGAGCCCTGCGTCGGGCTCTGTGCTGACAGCTCTGACGGCTCGGAGCCTGGAACCTTCTTTGAATTCTGTGCCTCCCTCTCTCTCTGCCCCTCCCCTGCTCCCACTCTGTCTCTCTCAAAAATAAATATTAAGAAAAAAATTACAGGGGCACCTGGGTGGCTCGGTCAGTTAGGTGACCGACTTCGGCTCAGGTCGTGATCTCACGTTTTGTGGGTTCGAGGCCCGAGTCGGGCTGTGCTGACAGCTCAGAGCCTGGAGCCTGCTTCGGACTGTCTCCCTCTCTCTCTCTCCCCTTCCTCCTCCCCTACTCCTGCTCTGTCTCTATGTCTCTTTCAAAAATAAACATGAAAAGATAAATAAATTTTTAAAAAGAGCCTTTTTGCTTCTATGCAATTTTTCCCTTTATGACGCTGATGTTTGGGAACTGTGTCAGAGCTCACACAACTGAAGATCACAGTTTGATCTTCAGTTTGGATAAGGTGAAATGATAGTATCTGGACTTAAGACTATCCTCCCTTCGGCAAAGGTTTTTTTTTTTTTTTTTTTTTTTTAATGCTTATTTATATCTGAGAGAGACAGAGACAGAATGCGAGTGGGTTGGGGCAGAGGGAGAGGGAGACACAGAATCCGAAGCAGGCTCCAGGCTCCGGGCTGCCAGCACAGAGCCCGACGCGGGGCTCGAACTCACGGACCGCGAGATCATGACCTGAGCTGAAGTCGGACGCTCAGCCGACTGAGCCCCCCAGGCGCCCCGGCAAAGGTTTTATCAATAATCTTCGAAGGTAGCAAAACGGACTCCATGGCATCTCATCTCACCCCTTCAGCACCTGGTGGCAGTGTTCAAGTTCTACAATAGCCGGGACTAAGTGGGGGTGTGGGGGCATCTCGGGGGCTTCACTGGTCAATCTTTGACCGTTCGGGTGTCACCTGTATTTTCACGTGAAGCGTCCGGCACGCTGCCTCGAAGTGTTCTGTAGCAAAGGCTGCCTGTACCTTAGTACAATCTGGGTACTTTACAGCTGAAAGGGTCCCTTTTGGGGGGGTCAAAAAGCTCTCTCTCTGAAACAGCGAGGGCTGTCCGGATGCTTGTTCTGGGTCTAGGATTAGCCTGTTTGGCCCTCCGACGACGTGTTGTGAACGTGTTGTTATGTAGACAAGCCACAGATACGGGGAGGCGCGGCAAACATGGAGAGAATGCTTAGGACGCTAGTCCTGAGAACGCAGGGCCTCTGCAGGGGCTGGATAAAGGCAGGGGAACAAGCAGATGTTCACCTCACACCTCCCCCACTGGCCGGGTGCCTGTAACCTCCACGCCCCCATCTTAAATGGCACCTTTTACATAATGTGGCTTCTGAATATGCTACCTGGATTTGAGAAGTTTCTAGACTGAAGTCCTGCCTTCTAGTAATATCCTTTTACGTGTAATCAATACAATGTTGATTTCATTCTCAATGGTGGGGAATCGGGCTATTTGAGATTGAAACTTTAACAGGGCCCTGGACGTTTTCCTCTTGGCATCGGACACACCCGTTTAGCTTAGAAAAAGGAGCAGCCTAATCTTCGCATCTGAAAGATTTCAGGCTGCAAGATGGCCCAACTTCTCCCTCCCACCCCTTCCCAGAAGCACACAGTGTAATAGGGTGCTTGGCACGAAACAGGCAACTGGAATATTAGTTGCATGAAACCTAGTGGGGGCGGGGCGGGGGGCGGGGAAAAGCTCATTTAAAAACAAAAGAAAGAGGGGCACTTGGGTGGCTCAGTTGATTAAGCAGCTGACTCTCGATCTTGGCTCAGGCCATGATCTCCTGGTTTGTGAGTTCAAGCCCCGCATCGGACTCCGTGCTGGTGGCATGGAGCCTGCTTGGGATTCCCTCCCCCTCTCTGCCCCCACTCCCGAAATAAATAAATAAAAACTTAAAGAAATAGGCAATGTTTGGTAACAAAAAAACCGGAAAGCTGCAAGCCCTCTTTCGTCCAGGGAGTACATCCCTCGTAAGAAAACTCTGCCAATTTTAACGTCAAAATGGCAAAACACTAATATTAATAGGCTGTATTCATACAACCAACTGCATACGCAAATCTGATCTTTTGCTAGGAGGGGAATTAGCTACCGTGAAAGAATTCCTGAATATCCTCCTGGTCAGATGGTATCTGGAAACGGAAACAACCAACCGTGCCTTGGCACTTGCTAATGCCATCAGCAGTTACCCCTTAATAACCTTGCTATGGACCCGAAGGCAGAGGTCTGCCGTGGAGTTTAGAAAAGTTCTGAGGCAGAATTTGACAAGTCACAAAAAATAAATTCACTAGTTTTTTAAAAAAATGTCCATTTGTACGTTGGATTTAAGGCAGCTTAGCTAATCTCGATTCACTGTCTTCTTAGGTTTATTTTTAATGCTTATTTTTGAGGGAGAGAGAGAGTGCACAAGCAGGGGAGGGGCAGAGAGAGAGACACACAGAATCTGAAGCCGGCTCCGGGCTCTGAGCTGTCAGCCCAGAGCCCTACGCGGGGCTCGAACTCACAGACCATGAGATCATGACCTGAGCCGTAGTCGGACGCTTAACCTACTGAACCCGAGTTTATTTTTATTTGAGAAAGAGAGAAAGAGAGCAAGCCGGGGAGGGGCCGAGAGAGAGGGAGACAGAATCCCAAGCAGGCTCCGCACCGTCCGTGCAGAGTCTAACGTGAGCCTTGAACTCGTGAACCCCAAGACCATGACCTGAACCCATCAGGCGCTTAACCGACTGAGCCACCCCCAGGCGCCCCTCAATTCACTACTTCTTCACAACATAAGCTGGTATTTGGTTTGTGGTGTGAGGGTCTGAGGTCTTGCCCCTTAACGGGTTTCTTTTTGAATACACACACACACCCCCCTCAGGAGCGAAACCGAGTATTAAAGCTAAAGTAAAATGACCGAATCTGATTTCCGAGGTTTAAAAAAAAAAAAAGACAACCCACCACGCTATACTGGGTAAGACCGTTTTTATTAACTGACCAAAGCACTTCATTTTGTTTTCTGATCTGAGGTAAAACCATTAAACACGGTTCACAAGAAAATACAAGGACTATTCAACTACAGTTACAAGGGTTGGAGACCTCACTAGTTCATATACTTTTACGAATTCATACGACTGTACAGTCTACTTAAGCTAAGTTTATTGTTAACCGAAAAGACCCAGTTATCAGAGACCTAGACACCCGGCCCGACTCCTCTTGTGGCGGCTACTTTTGTCGGGAGAGAAGAATGACGGTTACCTTAACGAATGGATTTTGAGAGCCGTGTGGCTACGGCGACCTGTACTCTCTTTGTTCCCCAGAGGTGGGCGCGAGGGCTGCCGGGAGAGCAAACGCGTGTTCTGTTCGGCACGCCCCCCCCCCCCCCCGCGGCAAACCGGGTCGGATAACCATCGTCCCACCGTGAACGTGGGGATGGGGAAGAGGGTCCCTACGTTTTCTTCGTAGAGTTAGCTTTTCAGGCAAGCCGGCTGATTTCTTCCAAGGCTTCCCTTCGAATGTTCAGATCCTATTTCAAGCCTCACTGTGTACCGCTGTGTTAGCGGGGGCATCTGAGTGTCCAGAGGACCAAAAAAAAAAAAAAAAAAAAAAAAAAAAAAAAAATCGTAAGGCGGTCTAGAAACACAGCGAATGTATTTTTCCCAACTGAGCCCAGCTTTGAGATTTCAAAACAAAAATTTTTTTTTAATGGACAGCTTTCTTTAATCAATACCAGAGGCTTTGGAATACTGCCGATTTGCTTTAGAGGTAGATAAAACAGAAATCGTGCAGCTAAGTCAATTGAGAAATGAGGGATTTGCTGTCTTGAGAACGTCGGGACTGCAAGTTCATCCTTTGTTCTCGGTTGCTGGAAGGGCTCTGCACACTTAACACCTTTGCCTGCTTGGGCAGGGAGGGAATACCCAAGTCTTGCCTGTCTCTTTCAGGAAAAACAAACTGAAAGTCGGCCCGTACTGACTACAGAGAGAAGGGAACGGTAATAACGTCTGTATTACGGCCCTGCAGTTCACGGTCCGGATTTGCGACACACAAACGCATCATGCACCTGGGAGACGGGAGTTAATTGTGGATCAGTGTCACTAGTGATGTTAATTACAAAAACTTACAGCCAAGTTCGAAACGTTTCTAAATATTGGAAATCACCATGTTTTAAAGACAGACTGGAATGTTACAAATGATTCTGCAAAATACAAAAATAGATATGCTTCCACTGGACGCTCTAATCATTTTTCCGAGTGCTCTCATCTTTTGGTTCTTCCTCATCGGAGTACACGGTGGGCTCCTCCCCCTCCTTCAGCAGCTTGCCCACGTGATGATACTTGACTGGAGGCAAAGAAAACACAAATGATCGCTCTCGTGCCTTACCCAGAACCACTACCTCCCACCTGCAAACATTCACTAGAGGCCTACGGTCTATGCGGCGATGTGCCGGGCTTCTTGAAGGTCTCTGTTAGGAAGGTCTTATGCCACAGCCCTTGGTGACCGGGAATTAAGAGTTTTGTTCAGAAGAAACACGGAAGGGGTGGCGGTGTTGGGCGAGGAGTGTGCAAGGGAAGGCTGACGCAGAGTCGTGTTTGTGTGCACAAGCGGGAGAGCAGGGCTCGCTAGGAGTTAGTTGGAAGGGTTTCAGAATGCCTCACGAAGGACGACATGCTTGGGAGGGCGCAAGGCAAGAGGGATTTCAGAAAATGAAAAGGCCGCGTACGGAGGCATGAGGCCAGGCTGCACACATCTGGGGAACATCAGAGAGACCGAGTTGAGAGCTCAACGGCGCGGGAGGACGGTTGGCCAAGCAGTGTGGGCGAATATGACGGAGGTGGCGGACAGCCGGCCCGAAGCGTCTGGACTTCGTCTACAGGTGGCAAAGGGCACTGAAGGTTTATGACAAAAGAACGGCATGGGAAACCAGCGCTTTGGCAGAGCAGGCAGATGACAGCAAGGAGGCCCAGCGCGGGGAGCCCAGGCGGCCCGATCAGTATGTGAAGGAACAAGGGCCAGGAGTAAGCAGGACGTCCATGGGAATGGAAAGGGAAGGATGCGAGCTACTTTAAAGCAAAATTGGAAATACGAGTTAATGAAGTTCCAACGGGAGCTGGGGACTCTGGAGAGGGGGCCCCCCCGGGGGGCGGGGGCACGTGACAGGAGCTCTACGAGGGCGGGAGGAGTGAAGTTGATACCGGCAAGAAGCAGGTCCCTGGAAACCTTCAGGAAGGGAAGTTCTGTGGGACTGTGGGGACGGAAGCTGCATCGCTGGGAGTAAGAAAGCAGTGGTTAGGGACCAGCACTTCTTAGACGGGTGACAGTGAAGGGGAGGAACGAGGACTCTAGTGGATGGAGGAAAAGCGGGAGACGGTGGTTTTTCCCAACACAAGGAACAAGCTATGCATCGTTAAAAGCAAGTGATTAAGGAGGCAGGAGAGCACTGGAGATGTTGGAGACAACAGATTTAAGGGTGCAAACCAGAATGCAAAAGGCAGGATCACGGCCCCACTAGCTGCATTCTTGAGGTCAAGCTCATGAGGGATTAAGCCTATGGATGCCAGAGGCCAAGAGGGCCGGGTCTCCTCTTTCTGAACAGGTAGTAACCAACCTGTCTAACCAGGTAGCCAGACCGGCTTTTGTGTGAAATAATCACTAGACTGGAACTTCCCTATCTGAACATGTTGTAAAGGTCCCTAGGGTGCCTGGGATTGCATAAAACAAATAAAAGGCGGGTGGCGCCCAAGAAACCTGCTTTAAGGGGAACCCACACTAGTTTTGAGTGGCGCTCCGGTGTCACAACAGAGCGTGGGGCGGGTCTTAGTGGAAGGGGGAGAAAGTTTTTACGGTTTTTACCTCCTTGGTGAAGGCAGGCCCTAGAAGATAGAGCTTTGTCAGTAATAAATTACAACTCGCTGGTTTCATACAGAAGAATATTCTCTACGTGTACAAAAGCATCCTTAGGATACAGGAAAACCAGGGACTATGTTAGATAGTGTTAAATAGCTGAATCATGTTTTCAAAGTAAAAAGACTTGCCTCTAGACTTGAAAGCTATACTTTGTCTGCTTGGGATTCAAAATCTAGGGGTAGAGCCGTAGCTGGCTAATAATTAACACCGAAGTCAGCATTATTTTCAAAAAAAAAAAAAAAAAAAAAAGAAGGTTGGATTTAGCCAAAAGAGTCAGTAATATTTAACTGGCTATAGAGAACAGCAAATAGAAGACTGCATTTTAGAATAAAAAAATCTTAGGGGGTGCCTGAGTGGCTGTCGGTTGAGCGTCTGACTTCAGCTCGGGTCATCATCTCACGGTTCATGAGTTCGAGCCCCGCGTCGGGCTCTGTGCCGACAGCTCAGAGCCTGGAGCCTGCTTTGGATTCTGTGTCTCCCCCTCTCTCTCTGCTCCTCCTCTGTCTCACTCTCTCTCAAAAATAAACAAAACATTAAAAGAAATAAAAAATAAATAAAAAATCCTTAAAAAATTTTTTTAAATGTTTTTATTTTTGAGAGAGAGAGAGAGTGAGAGAGAGAGAGAGGGTGAGGAGCAGAGAAAGGGAGACAGGATCGGAAGCAGGCTCCAGGCTCTGAGCTGTCGGCACAGAGCCCGACGCGGGGCTCGAACTCACGAACCGTGAGATCATGACCTGAGCTGAAGTCAGGTGCTTAACCGACTGAGCCACCCAGGTGCTCCAAAAATAAGTAAAAAATCTGAAAGTGATGGTCATGGTCTTTATATCCTGTTTCAAAGCTGGGAAAGGTTAGTCAAATTCTTAGCAGTGAGATGTTGCTAAAGTGATAAACACTTCGGTTTGACAAGAGCTGATTCCTCAATTCCTGAAATGTGAACTAATCCCCGTCCTCCCTCCCCCCACCCTCCAGCCCCAAAGACCTCAGCCCATAGCATAAGCCAGGAAACAAGTGTCTCCTTTTCCCTTTCTTTTTAAAAATGCAGACACCATTGTTGCTGGGCAGATTATAAGCATCATCTGTAGATGAGGCCTATAGTCAGGCTCAGTTAGATTCAAAAAGAAGCTGTTTTGTTGAACACAAGTCTCCCATTCTTCAACAGAAATGTGGGCTGCTTTTAAATAGCAAGCCTTGCTAGTAAGGACCTCTGAAATCCCTCTCTGTAGCCTACGTGGCCATGATCCTTTCCCCGACAGGCCAAGCACCAAATCCTAGCGTGGAATCTAGGCAAACCCGTCAAAAACTTAAATAACAGAAACCCAAGTTTCCATGGGGAACTGGCTAAAAACTGGACGCAATCATGGCAGGTGACTCAGCACTGCTGCAATCACTTCAAGCCATGAACTTGATCCGTCCGTTCAGGAGCCTATCAAAATGCTCCCCAGTTTCAGGCTGCTTAGTAGTAACTATTGTGCTGCCGTGAATCCCATTACTGGTAGAAATTTGATCCAGGCACAATTTAAAAAAAATGCTTACAAGTGAACTGAGAGTCCCAGTCACTCAGGGTCTCCTGCTGGGCGGGAGTGAGGTCAGAAAGGTCGTCATACTCGTCCTTCAGGGCTTCCTTATCCAGGCAGAAGGTGGCAAGGCCCCGGGATGCGTCTCTTCCGGCAAAGACCCCATACGGCCCCTCTTAAAAAACAAAACCAAACCAAAGATCAGTTCTTTATTAGACGGACAGTTTCTCTGTGGTTCATACATAGGAAATAGCTTCCTTACCCATCAACGAAGAAAGCCCCCTTCTGCAGTATCCAATTCCGTTCGGAAACCCTAAGTGACGTTGATGCTTTTGTCATTACGTGGTGGATACTGGAGGATCTGTTGTCCTCAAACTGTCACAAATCAGTATGTTAAGCATCATCATCCATTTCCTGTGATTTTCAGACAGCTAATAAGAAAGCCATGAATGCTTATTTCCTAGGGCGGGATGCGGTGGTAGGAAATCGTTTAAGATAATACTGAGCCCACGGGTCAGAATCCAGCTTTAGGACTGAACCCAGAGCCTGCCTCTCCTCTAGGCACTAGGGCTACAGCAGCGAAAGTTACAGTTTCTTAAGGTAATAAATACTAAGGCATAAATGAAAACATTTCCTTATAAAATGTATTCTGATTGGGGCGCCTGGGTGGCGCAGTCGGTTGAGCGTCCGACTTCAACCAGGTCACGATCTCACGGTCCGTGAGTTCGAGCCCCGCGTCGGGCTCTGGGCTGATGGCTCAGAGCCTGGAGCCTGTTTCCGATTCTGTGTCTCCCTCTCTCTCTGCCCCTCGCCCGTTCATGCTCTGTCTCTCTCTGTCCCAAAAATAAATAAACGTTGAAAAAAAAATTAAAAAAAAAATGTATTCTGATCTGTTTTAGCGACTCTAAAGTATCTCATGGTGATCTTTGGTTGTGAGACTGTATTAAACATTAACATGTGGTATCTGCAGGAGAAATCATTTTATGAGAGTATCAGCGGTTCAGAAATCTCTCCTCATGTTACATAATCTACACTGTCAATAAAGAAGAAATAGCACAGAGATCACCTCTGTCACTCTGGTGAGCTTGAAGACAAGACTCAAAATCCTCACACTTTCATGGAAAACAAAGACTGAATCAATATCCCAAACAAATATATGAGACATGAGAATGCTATTATATAGACTTTTGTCTAAGGGAGCGGTGAATCATTTTGTAGGTACTTGACGTGGATGTTTAGACTTATTTAAATATTGCACAAGTAAATGAAAAGAATCCAGTGTACTTTAAACCATGTGCTGTTTCCCCAAGGTAGATTGGGTAGCAACTCTGACCTTAAAAAGTTTGTAGGTAACCACGAGGCCAAGTATGAGACCGGATCAAGTTTCAATATGCCCCCTGGTCACTGGAAAGCTCAATCCACAAGGAATTTATTTGTGTACAAATTAGACAAAATTTATGACCAACTTTTGAACGCAAATAAGGTTCTAAAGAAAACCGGTTGTTTGCTCTCCCACTAGAGAAGGTAAAACCCAACAAACCCATTACACAGTTTTCACATGACACGTTTCACAGTTTTCACACTGTACACGTACACACACACACACACACACACACACACACACTTCTAGCGGACATGGTAGCATCTAGTACTTGAAAATAGGCCAATTGTTCTGGCTTGGACCTTGCTACTTCAGAGATTATAGTCACTGAATACTGAAAAATGGCCCAAGGGGAGCATTAGGAATATATTCACCAGAATGTACCTTCCCTAGAATATAAGCGCCATGAGCAGCCCCTTTTTCTGTTTTGCTCCCTGCTGTATTCCCAGTGCCCACAAAGGTGCCATGCATAGAATAATGGGCACCGGAATGAATCATTTTTAGGAATCCTTTGTAACACGGATTATCATTTGCACATGGTATCACACATTCATGGGCTCACAGGACGACAGCGCAGGGTAGAGACTTAGGAAGATCTCCCAATGGGCCGTCCTCAGCATTTTTCAGAGGGACAGCTAAGGCCCAGAGAGAACAATGCTTCGTGCCAGGTCACACAGCTGGTCAGTAATCCAACCCGGATTAGAACTCAGGTCGCCTGATTCCCAGTGTTGTGTTTCTGTGCACAGGCCTACATTCCTCCCAATGACTTTGCAAATTACAATCATATGATGATGGCCCGTGTACGTCTTTGGACTACTTGATGGTGCAGCTCAGTACTAACGGGTATTTACAGGATTATGTCCACTGAAAATGCCTCTAGGTGTGCCAGGGTAAGTGCCGATAACAGAGGTGTGGTTTTCAAATGATCTTGACAGCTACACGGCCTACAGAAAGTAGGTCTTCTAAATCGGCCACAAGGAAACACTGCTAAGGGGACGAGTTCCGTAAGAACTTTCCCACATCTGATCTTGATTAGTTGGACTGGGCGAGTAAAACAAAGCAGGAGTGGAGATGACGGGGATCACGGGTATGTGTGCGCGTCTCCAGACCGCTTCCCTCTGTCCAGACCCGCGAGCAAGAGAGAGTCCTCTCGATGTGGACACACTCCCTGAGCTCTCGGTTTTTAGGAGTCCGTATTAAACGAGCTACAACCTCCTTCCTCTCCAAATATCCTACATGGCACGACTTTCCAAACCCGGCCGTTTCTCAAAGGCGCCCCCGGGAAAGCCTCTTACAATGCAGATTGCTGGACCTCCCCGACAGACTCCTCCACGGTGGCGGTGATTAAGCCGGGAATCGGTGTTTTTCCTCAAGCGCATCAGGTGATTCTGATCCACCAGCAGGCTTAGAAAGCCTCATCTCTAAGGCCCTTCGGGCCTGCTGTCCTCCAATGGCTCAGCAGTCAGCCACCCTCATTTCCCCTCCGGTTGGCTTTTCCTGAAATCCCCACACCCAGCAGCCCTCACAAGCCCTACCCCTTTTGTTTCCCAGGATCCTCCCACTTCTCTCTCCCTCCATTTTTAATTTTTTTTTTTTTTTTTTTTGGCTTCTAGTCCTTTCTCTCGCGTTATAGACTGAAATGCTCTATTACCTTCTCATCTGGCCACATTCCCATTGTCCGCTACGTTCAGCCTCATTCCGCCCTCGAGCAGCTCCCTATCCCCCCCCCCCCCCCGCCCCACGGAATCTCCGCGTTCACCTCCCAGCTTTTCGGTCGGCCACACGCAGCGCGCGCACACACATACCAAACACATGCCACACACATACCTGACACATGCCACATTCCAAGCGCGCGCGCGCACGCACACACGCGCCTGGCGAGCCACGGACACGGGATACGCACACACACATCACCCGCCAGCGCGCACGCGGCTTCGACCTGCTGCTAATCCCACCTCCGCGCCCCATCTCCCGCACCTTCACGTTACACCACGGCCACTCCCGGAGGCAGCGGCCTCCGCATCTTCTCCGAGGCTGGAC